AGCCGCCAGCCAGGTACGCCACCTCAAGGACAGCGTGGCTGGAGGGCTCAGCCCGCGGCGTCTTGTTCCGCCTTGGGCCCCGCGCTGCCGTCGCAGCCGCAGGGGCCGGAACAGCAAGCGTGGCTGACGTCGCTGCGGGCGCTCCAGGGGAAGAGCCGCCACGATTCAGGAGTCCGCTAAGGCAGCTAATTTCTCGACTTTTTGCTGCCAAGCCAGAGAAGCACTCCTGAGTCGGAAGGGCGGCCAGCCCTCTTGCGATCACCCGCGAGCCGAGCTCCGCAGGGCGATCACCCTCCGGAGCTGATGCAGCTGAGTCCGCCTGCAACAGACCCATCTGCAATGCAGTCTGAACGGCGGCATCGCAATGCCCGCACGTCCCCTCCTGCAAGAAGGCTTTGCACCCACAGGCCGCCTCCTTAGAGGCCAGCCTGATCCACACTTTGTGCATAGCTTGGGTGCGTTTCCCTTGCACTGCAAAGGTCGCTTCACCGCCGACCATCTCGACCAGCACGGCGGGGAGCGAATTTCCTTTGAGTGCGTGAACCAGTCGGTTCAACACTGCCCGCGCGACAAACCAAGTCGCCGCGGCGCAAAGGATCAGCGCGATGATGCTGACCGCCCGGCCGGCGACCTGGACGGTCCGCGCAGCCTCAGCGCCGACCTCCTGCACGAGCTCAGCAGACTGCTGAGCAACTGCGGCGAGAGTCTCGTCAACGACTCCCACTGAGCCCCTCTGGACAGAGAGGAGCACAGGCGCAGCCAAAGCCGCCGCCACTCCGGCCCAGGCGCTAATGTTGCCTGTGCAAATGTGGGCCAGTCGGTTCAATACCCGGCGAGTCAACGCCCAGGTATAGGACGCTGCTGCCAGGACCGGCTCAGCCACTCGGCCGGAGCGGTTGCGCCTTGCGGCCGCAAACCTGAAAGGTGCCGCGCGCCCGACGGGCCGCGGCGGCAGGCGGAGGGGAACAGGGCCGCGCACCAGGCCGGTGCCGCGGCAAGTGGACGCAACCACACCGATACCAAGCCACGCCGCTGCGCCACGCCCTGTCCCTCGGCCCTTGGAGTACTTCCCCTTAGAGCCTCCGCCTTGGCCTCCACCCGACGGGTTACTCCGCTTCTTAGAGCCGGAGCCCCTCTTGGACCGGGTGGAGCGGAGGAACGGCTTGACCGTCTCCTCCAGGTCATCCTCCTGCTCCTGGCGCAAATCGATTGCCGCCGAGTCGTCGGAGTCAGACTCGTCGCGGTCCTGCTCGTCCCGCCTCGGGTCCGGCACACCGCGCGAGAGGACACCCGCCGCGGTGCGCTTCCCGTTGCATTTATAGCAAAGGTTGCGAAACGAAAGATTCCATTCGTCGCAACCCGGGCAGAGCCAG